AAAGTTGGCAAAGGAAGAATTGTGTCATTAGCTTCTTTTTCAAAAGTCCCTCATTTAGGCTAGAAACATTTCACTCATTTGATTGATTATTGTGATTTATTGCGATGGAGCCCTATAGCAGATTTTAGGGCATATCCAAATAACTGACTAATCAAAACTTTAAAGTACTTAAACGTTAGCAAATGGAACAATTTGGGAAATTCATATTAGTTCATTTCTTCAAGCCATTTTGAAAATGAAGAGTCCCTCCTTCCCCTGAATTGTGGGGGTCCAGTATTTGGATTGACCATTAATTGCCCAAGAGAAAACAAAGACTCAAGTATTCCAGCCTTATTCATAAAGAGATCTTCCTTTATTTATGTGTCAAAGGGAACTAGATATACATTCTAAGAAGAAAAGAAAGCAAAAACCAGTGTCCCAGAGCTAATGAAGATTGCAGGAAGAAGAAAAGTAGTGATATTGATACAAATATTTTGGTTAGAATTGGTTAATAGTCATTTCAAATTGAATATACACTGAATGAAACCTTACGCTTATGTACTCAAAGCCTATAATAAAACAGCCAGTTAGAAGGATTAGACAAAACTTGCTAAAATAAAATGAAAATAAAAAAAAGATCACGTACATACTTTTCTTGAAAACAACCCTTAAGATTTACTATTATTGTCATATTAGAATAGGTCTAACTTCACCATTTTAGTTCACAATCATTCAAAAAATATTCATGAAAGAAAATTTATATTACTAAGAAAAGGAATTAGCTTCCCCAAATGCTATAAAGAATAAGTTATAATAATAAAAACTTCAATCTTCACATGAGAAAGGTAAATTTTAGTTGTCACATATACTGAATCTAATTATTAAAATGCTCTTCGGAGCTTCGTTAGTCAATGACATCTGTTTCACTATTTATTAAAAAAAATTAATAATTTCTATTCTTACAGCCCTCCCCTGGGTCTTATGCTGCTTAATTTTCACAGTGTGGAGAAAGAAAGCACACAGACATAAAGTGTGCATGAGTTTGGTCATAGTGTTAATTTTTATCCAACCTATTTAGCTATGCACTCATTCTATTCCTTCCTTTTTATTAGATTCATCTCTGATTCTGTGAAAGACCGAACCCTGTAACTACACAGAAACATTTCAATCATCACATTTTGGTCGCCTAGATCTAGACCATTAGAGTTGACATACAGGTATACAACAATGTGTGTCATAGTTTAAAAATCATATCTTCTACTGATCTTGGCTCAATTTTACAGTAAAACTTCTTTTAAAAAATATATATTTTATTGATTTTTTTTTACAGAGGAAGAGAGAGGGAAAGAGTATTAGAAACATTGATGAGAGAGAATCATCGATCAGCTGCCTCTTGCACATCCCCTACTGCTACTAAGAATGTGCCCGCAACCAAGGTACATGCCCTTGACCGGAATTGAACCTGGGACCTTTCAGTCCGCAGGTTGATGCTCTATCCATTGAGCCAAACCGGTTTCGGCTACAGTAAAACTTCTTGAAATAAATTGTTTGAGTAGCTGTCCCTTCCTCACTTCTCATTCTCCTCTAAGTCTCTTCAAGTGAAATTAGTCCCCATATTTCACTGAAATAGCTCTTGGCAAAGCCACCCACAGCCTTCCTGTTATAAGTCCGATGATTCCTTCTCTGTCAAATTTCTCAGTCTCTCCAACTAGGTATAGATGGCCACTTGCTCAATTCTTTTAGCACAGTTTTCTCTTGCTTTCCAGTGATTTACTCTAATGTAATTCTCCACTTACTGCCTGCTTTTCTCAGATTTCTATTTCGGTGCCTCTGCCTCAACTAATCCTCTAAATAGTGGGAGTGTTAATTATCTCCTCTTTCTTCATTCTCTCCCAAGGACGTTTTGTCTAATGCTACAGAATAAAGTACTACCAAGATGCCAATGATGGAAATGAATAACTCTATCAATGACATTTCCCCCATCCAAGCCCTCATTTGTTTGTCTAATTAGCTACTTGACATTTTAGTATGAATGTGTAATAGATCTTTCAAATTTAACATGTACAAAGTGAAAGCTTGTGAGTTTTACTCAATGTCTGCTCTCCTAGTCTTCCCCATCTTCATAAACCGCGCCACCTGTTTCTCTGCTGCTCAAGCCCAAACTCATGAGTTGCCCATGAATCCCAATCTTCACCTACACCCAACATCTAACTCCTCCCTATACCCAACATTTGTCCTCTGACCTCCAACATCATTATTCATGCCTTCATTCAGGTCACCATTACATCTTTGCTACAATTTACCAGATGCCAAGTAAAGTTATATGCTTAGCTATGAAATTCCATTTATTTGGTTATATTTAATATCATTATGTCTATAGTATAATGTACTCCTTACAAATAGAATAGTGCTCTCTTTGGTAGGCTCTATTATAATCTTAATCTCTCAGAGGAAAAAATGTAGGTGCATTGAGATTAAGTAGTTTGTGCAAGTTCACACAGATGTTAAAATTTTGGAATAAGAATCTTTACTGATTAATCAGACATCCTACCACCTGTTTCACAATTCTGAGTTCTCATGACAAATCCTCCACAGTACTATCCTCAAATACTTAACTGTGTTGTGATATTATTACCAAAGATAAGTTTAGGAAGCATATTTAGCATCATTCCAGGATTATTTCTTACATACTTATAATTCTGTTTTCTTATGTATTGACTAGAGACCTGGTGATGAAATTTGTGCATGGAGATGTGGGGGTTCCTTCAGCCGGGCCTGCACCCTCTCGCAATCTGGGACCCATTGGGGGATGTCCGACTGCAGGATTCCTCTGGGACTGGGCCTAAACTGGCAGTCAGACATCCCTCTTGTAATCTAAGACCAGTGGCTCCTCCCTGCTTGCCTGATTGTCCCTAACCACTCTGCTAGATTGTCCCTAACCATTCGCCTGCCAGCCTGATCACCCCTAACTGCTCACTTGCCTGCCTGATCACCCCTAACTGCTCACCTGCCTGCCTGATCACCCCTAACTGCTTGCCTGCCTGCCTGACTGCCCCTAACCCCCTCTGCTTCAGCTCCTGCCTCCACATCCAGAATGATGCATGGAAGGTCATTCAGCTGTCCAGTCTAATTAGCATATTATGCTTTTACTAGAGGCCCAGTGGACGAAATTCATGCATGGGGGTCCCTCAGCCCAACCTGCACCCTCTACAATCCAGGAGCTGTCAGAGGATGGCCTACTGATGGTATAGGCCCACTCCTATGGTTCTCTGCTCTCTGTGGGGCCTGGGTTTTTTGCTGCAGCCATGGAGATGAAGTCCCCATGCCTTGCTGTCTGCTCTCTGCCTGACACTGCCATGTGCCAGGCAAAAGAAGCCCCAATGCCCGGCAGTTTGCTCTGTCTGCCAGGCCTATGGACTTCACAGACACCAACACACTAAGGAAGTCCCCATGCCCTGTTGTCTGGGCTCTGTCTGCAGAGCCTGGGGGTGTTCCCGCTGCCACCATGGTAAGGAGGTTCCAAAACCCTGCTGTCTGGGCTCTGTCTGCTGTGTCTGGGGGCGGACCCAGCCTCACCACTTGGTCCCCATGAACCCCGGTGGGGCTGACACGCCCAGACACTGCAGCAAAGGTGGAGCGGGGAGGCTGGATCCACCCCCTCCAGAGGCAGATCCAGCCTCGCTGCTCTGGCAGACAGGCCTGGATACTCCAGCAGTGGGGCTAAGGGGACTGGGCACTACCATCTTGTGGCTATGGGGACTGCCATTTTTTCGCAGAGTAATGGTTAATTTGCATATTATTCTTTTATTAGATAAGATTATTATAGACTTGTGGCCCGGTACATGAAATTCATGCACGGAGTAGGGGGGTGGGAGGGTTCCTTCAGCCCAGCCTGCACTCTCTCCAATCAGAGACCCCTTGGGTGATGTTGGACTACCGGTTTAGGCCCAATCTGGGACTGCTGGCTCCTAGCCTCTCACCTGCCTGCCTGCCTGATCGCCCCTAACTGCCCTCCCTTGCCAGCCTGATCTTGCCCGCAACTGTCGTCCCCTGGTGGCCAATTTGGTTCTGATTGGTTGGTTTCTATGCCAGTCAGAATCTCCGGGCCTATCTCTGGGCCTGATAGAGAGGTGGGGCTGATCAGCAGCGCCCTCAAGAGAAACAGGCATGGCTGCTGGTGAAGCATGGAGAGAGAGAGGCAACAGCTGATCATCAGCTGCCATGGAGGCTGCGGATCAGACTCTGCCTCTCTCTTTGGGCCTCTTTCTGGGTCTGATCTGCAACTCCTTGGCACTGACTGCAGGACTGACTTCTGATGTTCAGTTGAGCCGTTGGTCAGTTGTTACAGACCCTGGGTTTTTATATATTAGGATTTGAAAGAGAGGAATGGGAGAGAGAGAAACATTGATTTGTTGTTCCGTTTATTTATGCAGTCATTGGCTTCACAGGGGATCAAGCCTGTAACTTTGGGGTATCCAGATGATGCTCTAAATGAGGTACTTGCTGAGGGCTCATTCTTAACAAATTGATGTTTCATTCATAGAATTTCTGCCACATCTCTACACATCAGCATATTTAATGATCAATGACTTGGTAAAGCTATAAACAGCAAATGTTATGTCCATTAAAAGGCCTTTAGCACTATTAACTCAAACCCTAAAAGTTTTATCTCCTAAATATCGCCAATAGTTTAAATCAAAGTAACAAATGCACAACTAACCTGAACAGAGGGGAAATGCTTACTCAGCACCTTGGAAAATGATCTGGCTGAGTTATGAGTCATCTCAGTTTGCAAAGCGGCAATAAAAATGAGCCCTTCATTTCGCAGAGGTACCTCTGGCATTTACAGCAGATGATTAAAATAAAGGAGAAAAATAACTTTTGCATTTTATTGGAACGGAGACATTTTATCCTGGCCATGCATTTCTCCCTTGCAGATTTCATTTATCAAAAGAAATGTCTCCGCAAGCTGTTGCCAAGGGTCTAGTTATTCCCCAGCAACTCCCAAGACTGAGACTTACTTTATGGAAGTTTCTGAAATATGCTGCCTTTTCGTCTGGAAATTTTTCTAGCCTTCTGGGTCCTTTACTGGAAGCCTTTTTGAAAACCAACCAGCATCGTCTGAAAATCTGAAAGGAAATAAAGGACCCTTATTAATTATTGCCTTACATGAGTTTAATAGCATCAAGAGTCTATCTATTCAAATAATCCATTGGGGATAATTTTTTAAAAATGCACTTAAAAAGGAACAGGGTAGTACAATACAAAACAGAAAATGCTCTTGGCAACAGATGTTCAGCATACCCATAACCATTATGGACATTTGCATATGTTGTAAAAAAATCATTGCTTGCACCAATATATTTTAAAGGTTTCAAATAATTCCGATAATTTTGAGAATTATTTTACATATAATGACACCACCAGACAAAACTGTTGAAATATGCCATTGAATACAAATGAGTTCCCACTAATTTTACAATGATTTGGGTATTGTTAATCAATATAGCTATTTATACATCTCAATACACAGCTGCCAAAATTTATTTTTTTTTTAACATTTTTTGAAGGATCATTTTACTTTTGAGGGAAAACAAATAATTATCTGACCATCATGCTGATTATTTCATGCAATCAAAGCAGGTTCTAAAATATTCTTTAATTGGTCCACTCATCTGGTAACCAGTTTACTGCATGAATTCAACTTTTTAATTTCTCTAATAGATTCTTATTCTATACAAAATTAGTCAATCAAATTTGTAACCAGTGTGGTCACCACATTAATTATTGCAGCCTCTTATAAAGAGTACTATCTTTTTTATGGGTATTCTCTTCCCCCTAGGTGCAAAGATATATATAAAATTTACTCTCTTTCTAAAATTACTCTCTCTACATTATAACATGAAATAATTTTTGCATAGAATAAATAATTTCACTCTGTCTTTAATATAAATCACACATGCTTATATTAAGATTTAGGGTCTTATATATGGTAATGCCTAAAGATCATTTTAAATCAGAACAATTTTATTTTCAGTGAAGGTTCTGCTATTCATTAAATGCCTTGTCTTGCAGAAGTTACTTTATCTTCTCTAAGATCTAACTTCCTCACCTATAAATTACAGTCCATATACCTCATGAGGTTACTATTGAGGATTTAATAGGACAACTTGCAGACAGCATCTAACATGTCCTTGAAATGTAGTCCACACACTCATCTGAAACTCTTGGGTTTTGGAGACTGCTATAGACTGACTTATGTGCCCCTCAAATTCGTATGTTGAATTCCTTACCCACAAGGGGATGGTATTTGGAGCTGGGGCCTTTGGAAACTAATTAGAATCAGATGAGGTCATAAAAGTGGGGCCCTCAGGATAGGATCAGTGACCTTATAAGAAGAAGACGATCAGAGAACTTGCTCTCTCTCCAAGCTTTCACAAAAAAAGAGGTGATGCGAGGACACCATCAGAGGGCAGCTGTCTGCAAACCAGAAAGAGGACTTTCCCCAGAGCTTGGCCATTCTGACACCTTGACCTCAGACTTTCTACCCTCAAAACTGAGTAGATAAATATCTGTTGTTCAAATTCCCAGTATATGGTATTTTGTAATGGAAGTCCAAGCTAAGGCATATTTTATTTTATTTTATTTATTTATTTATTTATTTATTTATTTATTTATTTATTTATTTTTAAATATTTTTTATTGATTTTTTACAGAGAGGAAGGGAGAGAGATAGAGAGCTAGAAACGTTGATGAAAGAACATCGACCAGCTGCCTCTGGCACACCCCCTACTGGGGATGTGCCTGCAACCTATGTACATGCCCTTGACCGGAATCGAACCTGGGACCTTTCAGTCCGCAGACCGACGCTCTACCGCTGAGCCAAACCGGTTATGGCGCTAAGGCATATTTTAGACTTTATTTTATTAGTAGAGATGGTGGTAAAGGTAGTGAAGGCCGTTAAAGTAGCAGCAGTATTATGGAAATAAAACACAGTTACAGGAATCTGAATAGATTTGAGAGATCAAAAGCAAATAAATAAAAATATCATTGCAAAGTGGGATACACATAGATAATCAATATTTATCTCCCGGTTATTTATTAATAGATTTTGAATCCTAACCAAGGTAGGAAGGCTCTCCTTTGATGGAATTGGGAGCCAAGCCTGAAAACAGGGTTTCTGCTCTTTTCTACAAAGGAATGCTTTTCCCTGGACCCTGTGTGCTTATTGCTCATAATTCAGGAACCACAGTGATATCAAATGAAGCCTTACAGTATTCATGGAAATACAAAAATACACATGTTCACTGACTCCAATGCCCCATTTTGTGTGTCTAATTATTTTTTGCTAAAGAGCAAGTTAAACATAAGTGTGCCACAGAAAAAAAACATGATAACAGATAATAAGAAAACATAGATATACAATAGTATTTTCAATAACATCTTATCTTGTTGCTGTTACATTAACATAAACAAACACATACAGATAAAACTGTCAAAGACTTGATGTAATAGACTGTTTATCAAGACGAGGCCCTTAAGTTATTATTTTCTTATTTTGGAATGATTTTAGATTTATAAAATATTTGCAAAAATGGTGCAGAGAGCTCCTGTATAAGCTTTAGTTATTTCCCTCTGATGTTAAACCCAAAATAATCATGGTTCAGTTTTGGAAACTAAGAATTAACATTGGTAAAACACTGTTATATTTAAAAATCACCAGTTTTTTCCACTGGGGTTCTGTTTTGTTTCGGGATCCAATTGAAGACACCCAGTTTCTTAAGTTGTCCTCTCTCATTAGCCTCCTCTTATCTTTGATAGTTTCTTTGTGTGTTGTTGTTGTTTGTTTGCTTTTGCTTTTCATGACCTTGACAATTTTGAAGATTATTTTGTACAACACTCTTCAATTTCTGTTGGTCTCCATTAAGTTGTTTTGATATTTCAAAACTCTAAGGACAACCTCACCATAAAGGGACTCAAACAAATGACTTATTGGGAAGAATAATATGAATTCATCATGACTATGGGATAGTTACATTTTGATCAGTTGCATACTTGAATTTTTAAAGTAGTAAAAGTATCATGTAATAAATGCAGTAGTTTTGTTGTATGTTTTGGATTTTTTGTTCTTTTCTTGGGCCCAGTTTTAAAGATGTTTTGCTGGTATCGGGAGTGAAATAATGAGAAGCCCTGGCGCAGAAGAGGTGGCAGTGCCCCATCAGCGTGAAGTCAGATTCGGCAGGAGCAGGCACTCTGAAAGCAGCCTCCATTCCGGAAGCAGGGAATCAGTGGAGGCATGAAGCGAGCAGCTCTCTGCTACTCCTCTGCAAACAGGGTTTTAATAGCATACTACATTCTGCTTTAGGCCCTAGAACCAAGGCCTTCTAGGAGCAGGTTGGAGAAATTACAGAGATGAGCAGTAAAAATGCCTGCTTGAGACCAGGAAATCAGTCCTCTGCGGAAAACACAGAGGAGTAGGTTTTATTTTGCTTATACATGAATGATACAAATTCTTCCAGACTAGGAAAGCGAACCACATAAATAAAATCAGGTACCCTATTTTTATCCCCCCGTATCCGCATGAGACAAAATAGAAATGTCCTTCGGAGTGGGAGGAGATGGTATGTTCTCCAGATACTGCTCTTCAAGGGCATCTCAGAATGCTGGTTAGCAGGAGAGTTATTGCTCAGATCCACTCTCTTCCGCCGTCTGTCTTGTAGAGATGGCACTCCTGCCTGCCCCACCCACCGTGGAGATGCTATTTCCTGCTCTCCTGAGGAAATCACTGATTTTGCCTTCTCGTTCAGAGTTAGCTCCTAAACATACCAGTTGTCTCACCAAACAAACTCCTGGTACCCTTTAGGATTTCCTTCTAGAAAATTCCATGTCATTGCCAGGGCTCCAGAAATCCCCAGCTGCTCTCCAGCCTTCGCTTTCTACTGCATTAGCCAGCAGGTCAGCTTGCCTTAATTAATACCCTCTTAATTCCTTTCTATTTTCCTTCACAGCAATCCCTTTTCCATAGCGCTTTCTCCTTTTCAAGGTGATTTTACTCAAAGGGCATCCTTTGTCCATTTAAGACTCACTGTGAAGTAGATGGCAGATTTCTTGGCTTTAGCTCATAACCATAATTACATTATATTGCTAGGACCCGCTCACAAGCTTTAACTTAACCGGAGGTCGGATTTAATGGGCCCGCTCTGTCACAAGATGTTGACCTAAGGAACCCTGCACTTCAAATAGGATTTTGGTTAAGGACATGGAAGAATTTCTGATTATAGGAGTCCTTTAGCAGAAGGTATCACAGAAACTACCTCTCCAGAGATGGTAAAGACTAGAGAAGAAAGTGACTTATCTGGGTTGACTGTGCTCCCTTCTGGAAGCATAATACTATGGAAATAACTTGGGGTTTAGAATTCAATTATTTATTTACAATGGTGTAACATATCAAGACAACAAATAAATAAACAAATAACAAAGCCCACACAAGCATAGTTTATTGCAGGTGTATGCTCTGAGTAATTTTTTTTTCCTTCTTCATTGCTACTTTATGTATTTTTTGTATTTTTTTAAACTTATTTTTATTGTTGAAAGTATTACAGAGGTCTGAGTAATTTCAATTACTTAAGTCGTAGGCCTTGGTCCCCTCACAAAATGTGTATGTACTATTGAAAGATACACTTTTATTTTTTATTTTATTTTATTTTTTTGAAAGATACACTTTTAAAGAGTAGTTAATATACATGAAGATATGTCCCTATTGCTGTGTAAACAAACACCTACCTACTTAAATATAAATGAAAGGACCAAATAATTAAAAACTTCTTTAACTGGATGATAATTTAAATTTCATGGTTATGAAAATTTCTCCTCAACTCTGGAACTCAAATCTTTGCATCATCATTCACCATTGTTTAAAGCCATTTAAAAGTATTGGTATCCACTGACACTGAAAAAAAATACTTAAAGAGCAATATATCTGTCTCAAATCTCAATTTTTCTCATTCCATGTAGTTGAAAAGACCAAAACAAATGTTAGTGTTTTCTGATTATATTCTTTTGCCTTACCTGTTCAGAAAAATAATTTTGAAATTTATAAAGGATAAATGATGATTCCAGAATTGGTATGAGTTGCAATTTTTGAGGAGGCCATGCGTGTATTTATTTATTTATTTATTTATTTTCACCTGAACATATATAGTACTCTTCATTGAATCTGTCTCCCATGACATGAATAAAATACAGGGAGAGAATGCACGTGTGGTTTAGAGTCACAGCCAGAAATGAGACACCTCACAGCAGCAATGAGTTTTCAGTGTGTGAAACTGTCCTCATTATCATGAGAATAAGACCTAGACGGAGAGTAGACCCCTGAGCAGTATCCTCAGAGGTGGCTTATAGTAAGACTCTTCCGCCTCCCTCCTGTCTGGGAGCCCCACACTGACATGAGAGGAAACAAAAAGTCCTTTCTCTCTTCTCAGAATGTCTAAGAGACAAGCCTGCCTTTTGGGTTTTAGTTTCTCAAAAATCAGAATATTCTTTGGCTCTATATCATCATATGCTGTTTGAAATTCAGGGTGTTTTATTTTCATCAGTTGGTGGTAGAGGTGAAATTTGACAATCATGCAAACTATTCACACATACAACCATCTTGTTTTCATTTTATGGACCTGGTGAGTATAGGGTTGGAGCACACCAACAGCCCTTTCCTGAAACTTCAGGATTGGGATTTTCAACTGACATGTTGAGCAGTAAATCAAATGTCTAAATCATAGCTCAAAACATTTTCTCTTTAGTTTACTTCTCCTCCTGAATTTATTTCCTTTATTTGAAAAAAAAAATTTAGGCACACAGCTTCAAATGTTGGTGTCAGCATTGACTTTTTTCTTTTACAGAAACCATCCTAAAAATCCAAAAGGGAGATGACCCTGTGACATAGTGAGAATGGCTTGACTGGAGGAAAAGAGTATATCTAGGAAAGAAATGAAGCAAAATAATAAAGATATTAGAGCACTTTCAAAATCAAAGAGACTTTTCAGTTGATGCAGCAGGAAATGTGAATCAATGATTAGTTATATTAAAGGAGTGATATTATAAAATGTCATTAGGTAATTAGAACATTCATACCAGAGAAAGAGATTACAACTCAGCCAGTGTTGAAGACAGTGAACAGAGAGAAGGTGAACCCATGATGAAAATGATTATGAAAAAAATTTAGAACTTCACAACACACTCAATATGAGTTAAAGAGAGAGATAAATTAAAGATATATCTGAGTTTTTACATCTACATAGCTACATGAATGATGCCATTTATGTCATCGTCAGAGAACCAAAAAAAATGAGAAGTTTAATATTAGGTATATTGAGTTTGATATGACATTTAAACATTTGCATTACCAAAACTGCTCTTGAGAGTTATAAAGTGCACCCTTCCTGTAAAATGGATGTTTTTCAGTCTACATCTTAGAACATATCTTCTTCAAAAAAACAAGAAAGCCTACTGCATGGGAGAACATATTTGCCAATGTTATCTCCGATAAGGGTTTAATCTCCAAAATTCAAAGGGAACTCATACAACTTAACAAAAGAAAGTTAATTTTAGATTAGTCAAATTTGTTAATTATTTCTTTTGTGGCTATACATTTATGACTTCTATTTATTAATAGAAATGCATAATCCACTTACATTAATGTGGTTATTGACATAATTTAACTTTTCACCTAATTTTTGTTTTATTTTCTTTTTAATATACTTATTTCACTCTTTTTTCTAATTTGTGATGGATTAAAAAATTTCTTAGATTTCTCCCCTCAACAGCCTTTGAAACTTTTTCATCCCACTCCATAAAAAATATTCACTGAGTTGGCAAAAATACTGGATTACCCACAGATAACATCTCTGCCTTTCTTTTCCTTTTCATTACTAAAATCTAATGGAATTTCACTTTAAGAAATACTTTTCTAGTGACCTCTCTGCTGATCTCCTGACTTCACATTTGTTTTACTCCAATCCAACTTAACTATTGCTGCATGAAATGTCCCCACACACAGTTCTGGTCAGGTATCTCTCCCCACCAAATAACAAATGAACAAAAAGCAACAATAAACCTTCCAATGCTTCACCATCGCCCATTGCTTCTAAAAGAAATTTCAAATGCTGAAGCAAGTCATTCAAGAATTTCCATGAACTAATCCTGAAGTCTTGTGAAACATTTGTTACTTCTCCCAATAAGTCCTCTCCGAGAATTGCCTTATTCTTTCTTCACTCAATTCTACCCCTTCTCATATGTTCTCAGTTCACCTAAGTCACAGAGAAATGGATATCCTAAATATCTAGAAGGAACTCCTTGTTCTCAAGAATTGGAAACCAACCAGTGAAGGAGAATTACCAATTTATTCTGATACACTGAAAACTTCAGCACAGTTGTAACATGTCAAATCTGAAAACTCAAGTGAGAGGAGAGACAAAAAAATGATGACAGAAAGGAGTGAACAGAGAAAGGGTTTTACACTTTCTAAAACCTAGGGGGCCATAGGCCAATTCTAGGTTCGTTTGTGATTAACCCAATGAAGAACTCTTTAGTTATAAATAAATGTTTGCCTCCAGACAGACTGTTTTAAAAATACCCCTTTAAAAAAGCTTTGCATTTTTTCCCCAAGGACACAAGTATTGTACAGTAATAAGTGATTTCTTAAAAAAAAAAAAAAAACACACAAAGATAAAAGAACATGTCAAGGTCACTCCATAAAAAACAAACAAACAAACAAAAAAAAACACGAGAACTACAAAAATGGTTTTCACTACAGTAGTATTTAGTGGTAAGGCCTATGAAGATGAGGCTAGGAGAGAAGTCTTTTTAATTTATCAGTTACAAGCCAGTCATACTTCTTAGCTGTCCCTGTCTGATAGGAAATATTAAAATATGTTCAACAAGTGTTTAATGTTTCACAGAGACATTTTGGATTTTAAATTTAAGGCAATGTTCGGTGCAAAGAAGCTCGATGAGGAAAAGCCTGAGGCAGGGACATTCCATAGCTGGCTTCATTTCTAATAATGGCTGATACATTTAAACATTTTTAAAATGTTAAGCATTCTCTCACTTAATCCTCACACCAAAAAGGTGGTGTAGCTACTCCTATTATTTCTTTTTTTATAGATTAAGCAACTGAAGCTCATAGAAATTGTCTACTGGCCTCAGAGCACCAAGATAGCATGTTTCATGGGGAAGTGGAAGAAGGAAAACAAAGAGCAGGTTGACATTTAAAGGGACATGGAGAGAGGGATTTTGAGGAGGACAATCAGAAAGGGAACAGGAGTCACTAAATAGCAAAGTATCACAGTGATTAAGAGAGTAGGTAGGAATACTAAGAATGGCACAGTAAAATATAAATGAGTCATGGATGGTGCTTATTTTGGTGGTGGTAGGGCAGCAAAAGGCAATGTGTAGCTCACTTAAAAGAAATATTAATAAAAATTAGACACTAGGTCCATGATGAAATCTAAAAGCTACAGGATTTGCTCTAAGACTTATCTTTCTCCTCATGCTTTTCATATTTATCTTCCAGGTAGGTTCACATATATCAAAATAACATTTCCATTTTCAAAATGCATTTTTCCGACCAAGAAGATTCGTGGGAATAGAGCCTATTTACCCAGTATTGCAATAAAATAATGATAGCCCTGTAACTTTATGATATTTTTCATATATCATGATCATAAAACATCAAATTGAACACGACAGTTTTATTTGAAAATCTCTGCTTAGATACAAGTCCTTTTTTTAAAACCCTTCAATCATTTCTCCAGAAAAAAAATAACAATACGAAAAGCTGCCGGGGAGCTTATTGTTACTGGAAGCCGTATCTCTGGTACATTGTGGACACGGTGGGCTCTGCTGTCAATACATTTTTGAGTCGCGCTGTGATAAAAATCACATAAAAGCAAAGAGAGTTCCTTCTGTAAAAGAGATTTTATTGGGACCATGGCCAGATAATATTGATGCTATCTTTGAAATGTGGTTGCCAGATAAAGGTCATAAATTATTCCTTGTTCAAAAAACATGAGATCAGAACCGAAGTAGAATTTTGCAAATCTATGTCAAATTCACAGTTCTTCTAGACTTAGAGAAGTGATCCAGCTCTTATCAATATGTTTTATTCCTGGTAAATGCTCAATAATTAACTATGTAGATTTCTAAATATAATTCAATCAGTTCAACAAATAGTCATACAGCACTTCGTAATATAAGGCTCTGTGCTAGGCACTGGGGGATATCAGTGAACCCTGACTTGGAGGAGCATGCCGTTTATTGGGGGTAGTCCAGTACACAAAAATAACTTCAAGTCACTAAAGAAAGCACATTGATAGTCATATGTTCAGGGTGGGCTGAGACAAAGCAGGGGCCCTGGGAGGAAAGGCTCAATAAAGGAAAGGTGATTAGCCGAAACTGGTTTGGCTCAGTAGAGAGAGAGAGTCCGCCTGAGGACTGAAAGGTCCCAAGTTCGATTCCAGTCAAGGGCATGTACCTTGGTGTGGGCACATCCCCAGTAGGGGGTGTGCAAGAGGCAGCTGATTGATGTTTCTAACTCTCTATCCCTCTCTCTTCCTCTCTGTAAAAAATCAATAAAATATATTTAAAAAATAATAATAAAGGAAAGGTAATTAGGATAAGATTTAGTTAAACAGGCAAAATCAGAGGCAGCAAGCCAAGTCCAACATTACAGTCTTTTATAGAATCAAAGGAAATCATCTTTTTAAATCATTTTATCTCTCATGACTTGAATGGGATTTAAATAATTCATTCTTCTTATTTTTTTTTAATGTATCTTGTATTTTTTGTTTGTTTTTGTTTTTAATATATTTTATTGATTTTCTACAGAGACGAAGGGAGAGGGATAGAAAGCCAGAAACATCAATGAGAGAGAAACATCAGCCAGCTGCCTCCTGCACACCCCCTACTGGGGATGTGCCTGCAACCAGTGTACATGCCCTTGACCAGAATCAAACCTGGGACCTTTCAGTCCACAGACCGACGCTCTATCCAGTGAGTCAAACCGGTTTCGGCATAAATACTTCATTCTTATATGTCAATGTGTATATTCTTTTGTCTGCATAATTTTGATTAAATAATTTAATATTTATTAAATTTATCCTGCATTCATTCAATCCCTAGCCAGCTAAGATACTGGATAGCTTTCTGAATCATTTGGAATTTCTTATTCACTCCGTAAAATAACTGAGTTTAATTAAATCACTGTTAGAGTCCTCTTAAAACAAAAATATTGTGATATGTTGTATATACATTTGTATACATAATTTATCTGTTTTATTGTTCAAGATTAAGAATAAATAAAAATGATTTTTATAGAAATGATGACAGCTATACTAATTATGAAAATTTCAACCATTATAAAATTGTAAAGACAGAAAGGCTTTCACTAAATGGAAATAACTATAACCGTTAAACTAGCCATTATTCTATATAGATTCTTTGTTCATGTATATAGATAAATGGATGAATAGAGTTGATTTTATAAAAAAAATACATGTTAGGTTTAGTAAGACTATATTTAATAAAAGAAAAACATTTAATTTACTTTTTCATTTTAACTATATTTATTTAGCAGTTTGAATTCCTTAGTCTTATTTTTACATATCAAATTCTGATATTTACTTTGCATTTTATTCATAATTGACTAAATTATCTGAAGATCAACAGATTCGATGCTTGGCAAATCCTTTTCCTATGGATTCTCTATTCCAGAGGTAAGTATACCCACAAATGTTGACATGGACCTGATTTTATTGCCAAGTCACCTGTTCAAAGAAGGGTTTGTAGCTATATTCCTTGCATTCTTATATTGCGTTCTTACATTCTTGTTCTTACATATTGCCATGTGTCTTCTTTATTTTTCTTCTTCTATTTGCTTTTCACATTTGTTGCTATATTTTCATTCCCTTTGCCAACAATTTGGTCCAGAACCTTATTGATTTACACCGTGAAAAATGTCAAATCTGATCTCTCTAACAGATACCGCTGGCTCCAACCTCTTCTCCACCTTAACTTTTATAACTGTTGGAGGACTAATACATTTGAAATGTTCCTTTTCTTACATTGAGTCCTGTTCAATGGCTTTCAAAAGATTCCCACATCTTCTTCTTGCCTTTATAAATATCCACTTCCTCACTCACTCTGTGCAGAAGTCTGAACAGAGACTGAATCTTGCATTTTGTGCTCACTCAAACTTTGAACAACCTCTCTATATAAAAACTTTGAACAACCTCTCTATATAAAAACCTACGCGACTGTCCAATCATCCGACCATTTGACTGGTAGCTATAACGTGCCCTGACCACCAGGGGGCAGATGCTCAATGCAGGAACTGCTGAGCTGCAGTGACTTGGCAGCTGTGGTCTCAGATAACGCTCCTGAAACCAGAGAGGAGGGAACCCAATTTTGGGGTACATCACCCAAGAATCACCCTCTTGCAATCCAGGACCCCTTGGGGGAGGTTGGAGATCCAGTTTCAGCCCGATCCCCACAGTCCAGGCCAAGGGACCTCACAAACTTGTGCATGAACCTGTGCACTGGGCCTCTAGTGTTTAATAAAGGGATTACTTAATCAGCTATGGGAAGAGACTAAGAGCAACCACAAGTGAGTGTTCAGAATCCCAGGGCAGGTAACAGTGGATGCTAAAAGCACACAGACCAGGAGGGGCTAGTTTGGAGCAATTACCGCAAACTAGAGACCAAGAAGGAGAGAGCTTCCTGACAGGAGAGAGCTAAAGTTGAAGGCAAGCAGTAGACCTTGAAGAATTTCCAAGTTGGGGCTAGGAAAGGGTGATAAATTTGCTCACCTCATTCCATCCTCTTCTCTCTTTCTGATAATCTGCTCCCCACTGACTGGCCTTACCCAGAAGTCAGAGGCCATGTGTGTTCTTTATATTCATTGACTATTTGACTGAATTAAATTTCCTTGTAAACACTAGATTCTGTGAGACCTTATTCTACTTATGTAGATACTGAGTCTGGCACTGGTCCTTTCCCTATGCCATCTCCATTTATTTTTTGGCAGGGTTTTCTATTTCATTATTTTTCAAGAATTCTTTCTAGGTGTTATATATATTTTTTAACATCTTCCATGTTTGGAGTGTGTTTGGAGTGTGATTGACATTTGAATCATAATTTGGCAAACTAGAAGATTTTTTGGATAAGACACTCAAAACTTTGTAGGTATTGCTATATTATTTTCTGGAAACAAAAGTTTCATAAGGAAATTTGAGGCTTATCAGAATGAGCCTAGCCTAAGTCATTTTGACATCCCCTGAGGGTTCCCAGACTATAAGAGGGTGCAGGCCAGGCTGAGGGAACCCTTCCCCCAACCCCAGTTCATGAATGTTATGCACTGGGCATCTAGTATATAATACATGCGAATTTATTTTGAATAGACATATACAAGAGGCATCAAAATTAAAAATAATTTAGCCTGGTTCTTATTTATTAGATTGAAAGTTAGGATCATATATTTATCTGAAAGCATCATATCTCTAATGAGATCAAAATCATCTAAATGATTCTAGTTTTAATTTCATGAATGAGAAAATTGAGACTATATAATTTCCCTAAAGTTACTAGCACTCCTTAATTAAATATTTAGGATTAGAATTCAGTTCAGTAATTCTGACCTAGTATTTTCCCCATTATTCCATACTTCTTCCCATTAAAAAGTGAGACGGTTATATAATGATTAATACAAGGTCTAGTTTTGAGTAGTCAATTTGATTTTAATTATAAATTTTTCTCTCTTGCACAATTGCTATAAATATTCATTTTATTTAATAGCAATTGTGCAAAAGATAGAAATGATTTCCCTTACATCTAAACAAGGCTGACCTGATTGGATGGGTGATACTATTAAATCTCTTGCTATTTCAACACACACACACACACACACACACACACACACTCACACACACACTCACACTCACACTCACACCAGAATTTCTGGCAGTGTCCTCCATCCCCCAACCTCCAGTCTCCAAGCATCTGCTGCATAATCAAACATTTTTATCAAAGTATAGAAACTAATAACTTAGGAATTATAAAAAGCAAGCTAATTTCCTTGATAAGGATCTAAACTTATATAATATAGAATTCATTATATTATCCCTTAAATTTAAGTACTTAATTTTGCTATTGGGTACTGAAAACAAAATAATGATTTTGTCCATATGGATTACACTTCAACATGCACCCCTCATATTAGTCATTGACATAAAACAATTACTAAAGTTCCTTTTTCCTACAGTTGTCAGGTTAATGATTATATTTGCATAATATGAATTGATTCCATTTTTATATTTTTCTGTAACATAATGACTAGTATCTTATTTTTATTCAATTTGACTGCATTGGAAAAAAGCTGTTGGCATAATGTTAGATGTGACTTATTTTGCATGATAGTAGACATAAAAAGCCATACTAAAAATAATTTTTTAGATAATAATAAGAGCACGATTGAAATGGTTGAAAATGAAGGAAATTTTTCAGAACAAATTTTGAGTTAATATTGGAATGATACTAGTAATGTGAATGTGTAAGTTCATTTAAACAAACAGTGCACAATCCTATATAATAAAAGCCTAATATGTAAGTGTCCAGTTGTCCATTCAACCAATCAAAGCATAATATGCTAATGATATGCTAAGGCTGCTCAACTGCTCTCTATGACATGTACTGATCACTAGGGGGCAGATAGTCAACCAGTTGACTAGCCATTATGATCTGCACTGACCACCAGAGGGAAGATGCTCTGACAGGTTAGCGTACAGCTGGAATCCAGGTGATTAGCACTGAGTGGGACAGGCCAGACACACCTGGAGCCCTCCTGTGATCTCTCTCTTGCTGGCCAACCTCCTGTGTTCCTCCCTGGCTCCAATCATGCACTGGTGGGGTCCCTTGGCCTGGCCTGTACCCTCTTGAAATCCAGGACCTCTTGGGGGATGTTAGAGAGCCTCTTTCGGCCTAATCCTGCAGGCCAGGTCAAGGGACTGCATTGGTGCATAAATTCATGCACGGGGCTGTTATTTCTCCCTATTTCTTTTAGAGTATCATAGCACTCACCACCTTTCACTATGATTATCTGTTTTCATTTGGTCCCAAAAGAAAAGACTTTGAAATTGATGGTTTTCATAAGGCCGTTGGCTGAGGAAACAACACACACATTTATGAATATTTAACTACCACTGACATTTGAATTTTTAAGGCAATTTTATTTCCATAAATATCTTAAAGCTATTGACAGTGGATACTCATTTAAATAAAAATATTACCTATTTGTTAAGAAACGTATTACCTAACCTAGTCCATCAGACTTTTGAAAGGTTAAATAAGTTCTGTCCAGACTCAACAGGAAAAACTTTCATTTTCACCTTTTTATAAAATGAGTAAATGCCCTTTCCTTGCTTAACATATATTGTTTCATGCAGAATCCTAAAAGTATGTCTAAGTAGATAAAAATGATAGTAAGAATCCTACCAGCATGGCTGACAGATGCTCTCAATAAGAGTAAGCTGGTGAAGCAGCCTTCACTATACCTACCTGTGAGGACAGCAGTTCCCAGAGGACAGCTCACAGCCCGGTGGTCTCAGCATCACTTGGGAATAAATTAGGAATCAGAATCCTTGGGGGTGGTGCCCAGCAGCATTTCCATTAACTACTTTTCCAGGTGATTCTGATACTTCGGACCAGGATGACTTCTGGGAATATGGCCATACCATTGCTCCCAGCTTGACTAACTCCAGATAGTGTTTTTTACTAATTCTAGGCTCCTAACTTTCATTTACTCTAGAAAACATTCAATTACAAACTACTTTCCTGCCTTAGATAGTCTCCCAACCTTGGGACAGCTTTGCATTCAGAAAAGTCTTTCTGAAGGACCTGAAAGCAATCCCCTTGAAATGTAATCACTGAGGAGAGGGTCCCTGTCTCCCAGTCTCTGCAGGAGGGCTGGAGCCTAACTTCTTAAGTGCCAGTTAGCAAACACAGATGGCTTAGTCACAAGAACAAATCACTTCTCCAATGCCTTTGTATTTTTCTCCTATCCCACCCTAGTGCTAAAAAACCCTCCTGTCTCTTAGAGGAGTTGAGTTCAATCGCTGTTCCCTACTTCAGTGATCTTGAATAAAGTCTTCTTTATCTGTTTAACTCTGTCCATTTTTTTCTTTAATACTCCTCATCCTTCTTAGTTCTCTAACCTTTGGTTGATGTACTTAAAGCAGCATCTGCCTAAACCTCAAGTTCCCCATTTAAAGCCTAAGCTCAGCCTCAAATTCAGGTAGACTTGGACGCCAAGGCTCAAGGTGCAATCTGGCATAGATGAAGCATGAGTGTTTGTCCTTAAGATGCAGCTACTGTCTGTCCATTATGTACAGTATAAAAGATAAGCCTTCAGTCATGAGGGTAAATAAAAATGTGGCATACACAATATCGCATGATACACAGAGGGCTCTGAAATCAGAGGCCTGAGTTCTGTTGTTTGTTAAGGGTGTGATCCCGTTCTGTTTCCTGCACTGGTGGGGCATCAATTCAGTAGTCCACAAAATGGTAATCATATCGTCATACAATAACAATTGCCTTTCAGAGGATTACATGCATAGTCTCATTTTACCTTCAAAATAACATTATGGGACACCATCATAATTCTAATTTGATAGATTTAGAGTAATAGTTAACAGACTAGCTCAAAGCTTCTCAGCTAAAAAGTACCAGAAACAAGACACAGACTAAGCCTCCCCAATTCCATATTTGGTATACTGGAGTTGCAAAATTGGAGTTGCAAAATGCTATAATGTATATTAAATGTCTTGTATGTTATTATAGCAACATTCTAGAGATTTGTGAAACTGAAATAGAGTTGCACCAAACTAAATAATACTGAAGTTTTAAGAATAAGAGTTTCATTTACACAATGGAATACTATGCAGCTGTAAAAAAAAAAATCTTATTCTTTGGGAGAGCATAGATGGACTTGGAGATCACTAGCTAAGTGAAATGAGGCAGCCAGAGTAAGACAAATAACATATGATCTTACTTATATGTAAAATCTAATGAACGAAGTAAACCATCAAAATAGAACTAGAGGCATGGATACATGGACCAGACTGACAGATGTCAGAAGGGAGAGAAGGGGCCTGGATGAAATAAGGTAACTAGATTAAAAAGCACATATATGCATAGGCCTTGGACACAGACAACCATGTGTTGATGGTCAGAGGGAAAGAGAGTGGTGGCTAGGTGAAGGTGG